AATGATATTTGTATAGTGACTTAGTTTACAAAATGTTTTCATACATATTACCTATTTAATTCTTGCAACCACCCTACAAATTGGGTTGTTACCCTACTATACAGATGTGAACACAGATTCAAAAAAGGTAAAGTGGTTTGCGTAAAATTATTCATAGAGTTTTAAAATGATGGAAGTAGGTAGGTTCCTTTCCCATGTGTTCTAATGAGAATTCCAGGACAATTTTCTCTACAAACTGGTTTCACGAGATTCATTTGTCCTACAAATGTCACTAAGAAGTGACTATTAGTTTCAAGCCTATTGACTACGACTCTTTATAACTTGGTTCACAAACACATAAATATACAAACACACATTCGCATGTAATGTCAACAGTTATCCTTTCGTACATGCAGCAGAATGTTTGCAATTTCTGTTAGAACCATTTTTATTTCATAATTAAACATTAATAGCTGTAACCTTCTAATCTAATGTCATGGCTCATTAATGGATCACAACCACAACTTGAAAAACACTGCAACAGGATAAAGAGAGAACAAAAAGCTTTGAATAGATAGTCTAGGAGAAAGCTAAATACAAAAGTAAAAATAATGTGAGACATACTTAAAAGAATTTTTTAAGGTTGTAATTAATTTAGTCACAGGTGGTTTTCATTTATTCTTCTAAAAATATTATCCATATAAAAATAATAATATGAGGCAGAAATAATAACCTTAAGATAGGTACAGAAAAAAATGTCAAGAAAGGTAGGAAAGAAATGTTACTTTGACCTAAAGAATAGAATTAAAATACGATAATTTAACATCCTAATTATTGTGAAGGAAGCCTATGTTAGCTTTCTATTACTATAACAGAATACCTGAGATAAACAACTTATAAGGGGAAAGATTACTTCGGTTCATTGTTTCAGAGGTTTCAGTCCATGGTCAGTTGCTTTTGGGTTTGTGATAAGGCAGCATGCCATGGTGGGGAGCATGGAGGTAGAAGGTGGTAGAAGGAAGCTGCTCACCTCATGGCCACGAGGAAGTGAAAGAGAAACAAATAAAGTAGTTCGGGTCCCAAAATCCCCCTCAAGAGCATGCATCAAGTGACCACAGATTAGTGACTAAGCCTTTAACACATGGCCTTCAGGGAACACGTATCCAAACCCTATCAAGGCTTATTGATTTTTGAAGGGGAGTATGATTACAAGACACCAATGCCTGTATGTTTGTGTCTTATTTGAGAATCATCATTACAGTGGCCATAATTCATTCATTCAATGAATATTTATTCAGCCCTTACTATGTGCTAGGTACTATTTTAGATGTAGGGAATAAAATAGGTGACAATGCCCACCATCAGGGAACTTACATTCTGTAATGTGATGAGATGGACCATACACAAAATAAATAAATGAATGATGTAACACATTAGTAGGTGATAGGTCCTATAGAGAAAAAAAAGCAGAGCAAAGTGATAGAGAATTCCTTAAGATCACAATATTAAATTGAGTGATCAAGAAAAGCTTCACAGAGAACACAATATTTGAGAAAAGACTGAAAGGTGATGAGAGAGCTATCCGTGTGAGTATTTGAGGAAAGAGCATTCCAGGAAGAGGAAACATCAAGTGCAAAGGTCCTGAGTCAGGAGCAACAGCAAGGAAACCAGTGTATGGAAATGACTGAGGGAGAAATAGGAAGTGAAGATGGGAATAATATTGGACCTTGAAGGCACTTGTAATCTTTTCCTCTTAGTGAGATGGGAAACCACTGAACGATTTGGGGCAGTACCCACAGAAGATTTAACTTACATTTTAATAGAACTACCCTAACAGTTCAGTTGAAAATGTACTGTCATGAGGCAAGGTTGTAAGGAAGAAACTAGTCAGGAGGCTATTTCAATCCTCCAGATGAAAAATGGCATTGGGAGCAGTGGAGAAGGTAGTATTTGACCACATTAACAGGTACACTGTGAACATCAGAGCAGGAAGATTTCTGACACTGGACACAAAGAGTGAGATAAAAAAGAAGAGTGAAGGACAATTCTGGTTTTGGCTTGGGTAACTAAAAGGATAGAGTTGAAATTAACTAAGATGAAGAAGCCTGTGGTAGAGTAGATTTGGGCATAAGGAGCAAGGGTTTGACATGTTATATCTGAGATGTGAAATAGCCATCCAAGTTAAGATGTCAAACTGACAGCTGGATACAGTGGACCCTTGACTTACAAACTCAATTCGTTCACACAGGCTGGTTGAAACTTGGGCTGGTCAATTGAAGGCTCAGGCTCCTCTGCCGAGCCTTCAAAGTCTCTTTCCTGTATACAGGCAGATCTCGGGGAACTTAGAGATACATTGGCCCAGGATTTCTCAATTAACCCCACACAGGAAAGGATGTTGTAATGTCCCTTCCAGAACTCTTTAAGCATTAAATCTGTATCTGAGACCATCTGGAAGCACAAGAGGCTGGCATTCGGGTCATAACTTAAGACTTTGTTCTTAAGCTAAAACTAAAATTCCGGTCATAACCCAAGTTGTTCGTATGTCAGGCTGGTTGTAACGCAAAGGTCCACTTTATATGGGTCTAGAACTCAGGGTTGTGACCCAGGCTGGAGATACGTATTTGGAGTTAATGGGATAAAGGTGGTATATAAAACAATGATACTGGCTGAGCTCTCCACAGAAATTTGTAGATAAAGCGTGGAGCACATTCCAGTTTAAAAGGACAGGATGAAAAAAATAACAAAAGAAGCCTAAGAAGTAATGGCTGGTGAGAAAGAAGAAACCCAATAGAATTAGTGTCCCAGGAGCACAATCAAGTATCAAGGAGAAGGAGGTCAGAAACTATGGTAAATGTGGTTGATAGAATGAGAGCTGAGGATTTAAGTTCTAGGAACTTCAACATGTGATCTCTTGAATTGGATTTTCTAGGTTAAATACTGGCTCTACTGGTTACTGTACAGTCTCTCAGAAACAGTTAAGCCCTCCTTGCCTTACTTTCCTGATCTACAAATTAGAAATAAGGAGGATTACTTCGGTCAATGTATTGTATATAATACATAAGTAAACTCTATGCAAGTTTTACAAGTGGTGGTGATAGTGGAAATATTAATAGTATTGGGAGTAGTGATAATAGTATTTCCAAAATCCTTAAGATACTCTCATTTTACAGTTGACAAAATTGAGGCTTAATGAAAGTAATTAATATTTCCAAGGTCAAACAGGCTTCAGCACAGAAGCTAATCACTTTCAAAAACCATAATCTTTCTGTTACAGCGCTGTACTGTTAGGCAGTATTGTTTAGAATTACTTAATATCTTGTCCATGGGAATATGGGAAAGCATTGGGCTGGGCATCCTTGTGATCGTTAACCTCAGTGAAGAGAAAACAAAACCAAAAATGTGTGAGCACCCTTCTAATTATCGACCTGCCGAAGTGGTATTAATTATTCCTGAGTGTCTGTGGAGTTTCAGGTTAACACAAACTTTGGCAAAAGTTTAAAAAGATGAATATATACTATTAATTTTCTTTGCCTACTATTATTGGCAAAAATTAGAGCTAAACATTACTGCTGAGATAGACAGACAGACGTAGGTTCAGAGAGAGAGAGAGAGAAAGAGAGAGAATTTTTTCCAATTAGAATTTCCATGAAACTAAAAAAAAACACATACACTTGTGAAACAAATAGAAATACAGTTTCCCCTAAGTAGGTCACCTTATAAACAATATGGACAGATACTGAAGCAAGGAGAGTTGAATCTCTTTCTGCCTCAAACAGCTTTTCTTCCCAGAGCAATCAGTGAAGCGTGGCTGAGGAGATTTTACTCTCTATTAAGACCTGTTGGAAGCCCTCCATCTCTCATCTCATTTTATCCCCTCTCCCATTGTTTTCCTAAGTAGTATTTATTCCTAACAATAACTTTGGTTTATACAGTTTTGCTTCCATCTGCCATACCTGGCTCTAAACTTTCGTAAACTTCCTGCAAATGGTGTGCATGTCTAAGCAGTACATACACAGACATATACACCTCAAGCGAAACTGTGTGAATACTTCTTGCATACCTCCAATCTAAGCCTGTAATCCCAGCACTCTGCAGGGCTAGGGCAAGAGGGTCACAAGTTCGAGTGCCACCAAGGCAGCTGAAGCAAGAACCCATCTCAAAATACAAAATAAAAATGGGCTGGGATAACGGTGAGGAAGATGATGATAATTAAGATGCAGATGGAACAAGAAACTAGAGACAATTATAGCTAAGTGGATGCGCACTGAGGCCATACTCTTAAGTGAAATAAACAGGACACACATGTGTAAATACCGAATAGTTTCTCTGGTGTGAGAAACTGAAAGTGTAAATAAGGACTAAAAAATATAATAGAGAATGTGAAATAGGAAGAAAAGGTCTAAAGGAGTAGGGGTAGTGTGAGGGGAGGGGCAAAGGAAAAAATGGAAACAAAGTCTATGTAAATAGGGAAGGGTGGAGGGGGTAAAAGGAGTGCAGGGAAATGGGGAAAAAATAAGAACCAAGGTACATCATGTACAGGTACAAGATCCCAGTGATGAATGTAACTGTATTGTATACCTGAAATGTACCAATGAACTTAATGGGAAAAAAAAGATGCAGATGAAGCTTCTGAAGATGAAGATGGAAAATCCGATCTCTACCACCAACTGGCTGGATAACCTAAAGTAAACCTCTAAATCTCTTGGTGCCCGTTTCATCATCTGCAAAATAAACAAATTAAATTCATTTGAGCTAATAAAGTATGAGAATACTCTTACTTTTTTTTTCTTTTTTGTACCCGGGATTGAACTCAGGACCTCGTACCTAAGAGGCAGGTGGCAGCACCACTGAGCTAAATCCTGGCCCCAAGAATACTCTCTTAAAAGTAGCCCACTTCAAACATTTTTCATGGGAATTTTATCTTAAATTAGTGAATTAAATGACAAATGAACTAGTTTTTTTTTAATCTCAACTGCCTAAAACATGTCTAATTGTTGTTTTGTTCATTTTTTTTTTTACAGCTTCGAGCGAGAAATGCATCCCTACTCCTATAGTTATTGCATCTCTCTACTTCTTGGCCACCGTTATCATCTCTTCCAAAAGCAGAGTGTAGAATAATTCTGTGGCTTATTTAAAATAAAAACAAAATGAAAACTTGTTACTGCCTTTTTGATAGAAATGAGAATTTATTTGCCAAGAAAGACGATTTACTCATACTTCTGCTGAGAGCAATGCATAGGTTCTTCTTTGTTGGTTCTGTTTTGCCTTCACAGTACCTCCTTGCCAATCAGGGCCCCCACAGTACCCTGGGGAAGCCACCCAACCCAGCTGTCATTTGATGAAGAGCTAGCTCTGCTCAATGCCTAGAATTTGCCTGTAACTCAGTCCTGAGCCACTCACTATAGTTCTTTCTGCTCCATGCACACAAAGATTTAGGCTAAAAAAAGAATATGGCCCAGTGGTAACCTATGACGTAGCATCATGATGCTTTTTTTTTTTTAATTAATTTTGGGAGTAGGGTATGATCCTTTCTTTTCAGCAGAGTTTAACAAAAGCAGGGTATGGGCTGATAGTTTGCTAGCAGCCATCTTATCACCAGGACAGGAGGCCCTGCCTCCCTGAAAAAGGAGCTAACACAAGGAAGAGCTGAGGATGAGAAGAAATTGAGACTCACTGACAATGTATGAGCCTCTGGATCCAACTGTTCTAAACCCAAATAACCTAAGCTTCTTCATTACACAAATCAATAAAATATTTTCTTCTCAACATAATTTGAATTTGATTTTCTATCTCAAGCAATTGAAGGAGTTCAGATGAATAGACTTCCCTTTTTGTTGTTGTTGTTGTTGTGGGATTTTTTGTTTACTTAGTGATCCTAAACAGGAACAAATCAGAAAAGATCAAGTTAGAAAGCAAAGGATAAATTCATCAGATAGAAAAGCTTTAAGCCCCAGAGACCTAATAATGGTATGAATTTTCTTCAAAAATTTTTACCAGCCTCGAAGGTCAAACTAGTATCAGATGAAAAGAAACATGGAAACCTCAGAAATAAAAAGGAAAGTTAATAAAAACAGTCAATGAAATCTCATTCACTGCCAGTAACAAGGTGTTAACATGCCTGTTCCTAAGATATCAAAAAAGTTAAAAGTTTAAACAGATGTTAATTTATAGAAGACTGGATGGAAATTTAAGACTTCATAGAAAATTTAATTATATTAAGAAAACATGTGGGTGCATGTGGAGGTAAAGGAGAGCACATGCAATAAAAATCTGATTGCCAAGCAAATAAAAGATATATGAGCTCCATTATGCCCAAAGTATGTGATGCAAAGTATGAATTATAATATTGACACCTAAAAATGTTCTCCAGTTCTTCCCCAAGTAGTAGACAGTTTATGTGGAGACCTCAGAAATTATTTTACTTGCTGTCCAAAGGCCCTATGACTGGGGTAAATGGAGTAAAGGTGAGAACAGCTACAATATAACTTTGAATTCTGACAGTATGAAACAGGTTCTCCTCGGGAGAAAATTATTCAAGCAGCAGCAAAAAGCTGGGCGTGGTGGTGCACACCTGTAATACCAGCACTCAGAAGGCTAAAATAGGAGGATCGCCATACATTTGAGTTGGCGGCCAGGTTGGACTACATGGTTGAGTTCAAGGCCAGCTACATACCAAGACCCTGTCTCAAACAAACAAATAAACAAGCAGCAAAAGTGAAAACCAGCTCATCTTATCCCTCAGAGGACTTTCTGAAAGGCCCATGCTATGAGCAGAGAAACTAAATGGATAACTAGCAATATAAATCATCTGGCATCGGTCAGGGAGTTCAGAAATCTACATACTATCATTCCTTAAATTGGGATTTCCAGACCGACAGGACCAAGTGCACCTATGCATTGGCCCCTATGCCCAATAAAGCAAGTACAGAATTTTCACAAGCAGAAAATCATTGCACAGGTCTTTGGCAAGTTCATGGGTGCCTGGTAGAGTCCTGGGGGTAGCTTGGGAATGAAACTTGGTGGACAGTAGTGAAATGAAATGTTAGGAAAAGCCACCCAACAATTTCCATATGTTTCTTTCCTGCATTACATAAATGCATTGAATAAGCTATGTAATGTATAAAGTACCGAGGGATTAAAAGTTGAATACCTTAGGTCAGAGCTCTCATGAATGTACAGTCTTCTGGGAGAAATTAAGAATACAAGTCACAAAGGAGATATCAAAGAAAGAGGGAAATCATGTTTTCTGTTCAAGAGAGAGATTCCTTCTAATTGAGGCAAAAGGAGAAGCCAGCAAGGCTTTACTGGAAAGCAGCATCTGAGCAAGGCCTTGAGATGTTTAGTGGGAGCAACGCATGACAGGAAAAAGAGAAATGATGAGAAAGAGTATAAGGCAGGTGCTTAGTGCCAAAAACAAGTACAAACCATATATGTTTTGAGTGTAGAGAAAAATGAGATTTCTCTGGCCTGTGGCTGAAGTTTTCTATTGGAAATGAGACTTTTTAAGAGACAGGTTTCACCTGTGTGGAAAAGAGGTAAATAGAGAGGAGAGGCAGGAATAATTCACATATGTATAGGGTCAGGAAGTCACAAGGTCAGGCAGAAAGTGAAGAAGTGTGAGCTACAGAGGAAAGATAAAAAGACAGCCTACAGCTTTTGATCTCCATAAGAAATCATAGTTTTCTGAGTAAGATAATTCTTCTAAATTGGCAATTCAAAGTGTGCTTCCAGCACATGCAAGCATCAACACCGCTTGAGCATTTGGTAGAAATGTAAACTCTAGTGCTAAACCTTGAATTTATGGAAAAAGTAAGTAAGCAATCTGTTTTAATTACTCCTATATATATTGTGCTGTGCTCCAACATTTGAGAACATTGTTGACTTACGTGATTGAGATGCTTAAAGGAATAACCAAGTTTTTTAAATAATACCTTAGCTCTTCTTCATGCTGCTTTACAGACCAAATCTCTGGAGACAGAAATTATTATTTTGAAACTATATAGATTTATAAGTTTGATTAAGGATAAATGCACATAATTCACATTCCCCCAGTTTCTCCCTGTAGGCCACAGTTTTGAGCATAATCTGTACAGCGGACCATTGATTTAAATTGAGTCAAAGATTATGTTAAAATTTTCTAAAACTGGACTAGGGATGTAGCTCAGCATTGTCTCACTTGCCTGGTAAGCGCAAGGTCCTGAGTTCAATTCCTGATATTGGAAAAAATTTTTCTGAAACTATAGGAGACCAAATTAAAAATTTCATCATAACTGCAGGCTGGGATGTCTTCTGAAGATAGAGTAGGTGCTTAGCTGTGTGTAAATTCACATGGATTGTTAAAGAAGACTTCATAATAAGGTGCATAGTAATTAGCTCCATATTAATTTTATTAAAGTAATACATGTGCCTCTTCTTTTGTGTTTATCAAAATATTCTGGAATCATTTAATACATTATTTTTATCTTATACTATTCAGTATTCTCTTTAACATGCCTACTTGAAAACCCTAAGGATTTACTTTATACACATTAAAAAAGTGAAAGAGACTTTCGATGTCATCTAATTTGCTTGGGGAATCAGGATTCTTCAATTGAGTAGGCTAATAATCTGAATCCATAAACCATTCAGTTCTTGACTTGGTAAAACTCAACAAACAATTACTGAACTAAGTGCTTTCAGAGACACTAAGATACAGAAAACAATGGCAACTAAGAAGTATGGTGAAAAGGTATTAAAATATCACAGGACTTCTTTCCTTCCTTTGGTTCTTTATTTTTCTTTCATAAATGATCATATTTTGCTTTATGACAGTTCACCCTTTCCTTTCCACTTACACTTCACTGAGTTAAGTCATACAGTGCTCATGGCTTCAGAGAATAAAACTAGGCATAACACTGAGATAAGTGAGTCTTCTCCACTTTGTTCTTCAAAACCTGAAGGACTTTAAAGAAAATAAGAGGAATCCAAAACCAAAGTATTTAAGAGGAGCATAAAATGAGAACAATGCATTTGAGCAGAGTGGAACTTTCCCCTAATATCTCCATAAGCTGGGATCAGCAGCAGATGGAAACACAACAGAGTGGGTGGCTGGTGGTGGCCAGTGGTGGGAAAGTGTGATGCCACCAGCCCCTGAGCACACCTGTTCTTATGGGAATGGGGACCATGGGCCCCTAACATCAAGGGGCCACCCAAGCTGCCATTCTCATTGACATCCAAGGATTTCCCTTCAATTACCACTGGTCATTCTCATCATTTCACAGAAAGACTCTACCCCAAGCCTCTTTCTGGTCTGTGCCCCATTTGTCTGTATGTCAATCTCTCCAGTGATCCTAACATTCTGGAGCACAACCCTAAAGACCGAGAGAAGGGTGAAATCCTAAACACACAAAGGACAGAAAAAGTAAGCATAGTGAAAGACCTATCTCCTTTCTCCCATATTAAATATCGGAGAATCCACTCAAGATCTTCCTCTAAATTATTAGTAACAGTCAATAGATAACTTTTGCAAATGGGCAAGACTTCAGCATTTGTACTGAGTGAAAGCGCAGCTGATGTATTGAAATTTAGCCCCTTTTCAGAACCTCTAAGCTCTGCGAATGGTCAAAATCCACTAGACCCTTCCCAAAGGACATTCTGAAGACCTGTTTGTCTGAAGGTGAGGGAATAATTCCTTATTTAAATTGACAATGATAGGCTGTCATGGTGGCCCAAGCCTGTAATCCCAGCATTCTGGGAGGCTGAGGCAGGAGGATCACAAGTTCAAGCCCAGCCTGGGCACCTTAACAACTTAGTAAAACTCTGCCTCAAAAAATGAAGAAGGAGGTGAGTGGATTAGGGATCCAGCTTAGAGTGAAGGCCCTGTGTTCAGTCTCCAGTGCTGCAAAGTAATAACAATAATAATGATTAAATGGTAATGATAGCCTTGTCTTGGAGTTATTCTATCACTTTTCTTATTCTCAGCAAAGTTCCTATTACGTATCATGTGCCTCAGTGACATTCAGGGACATCTTGAGAGTATGTACTCCCAATGCAAGAAGGCCAAATACTTCCTGGCAGATAGACTTTCCTAACTCTTCTCCTCAAATACAAGCACATCGCAGAAATTCTACAAATGCTATGGTACTTTCTTTGTAAAAGGTTGGAATACCTCCATTTTTCAATTCGTAATATCTCCTAATACAAATATCTCTGTAGAAGACAAATAAGAATAAAGTGTCTGTTCTGATCTTATTCATATAAGCAAGAAAATTATATTAGTGCTCATTTATTGCTTTTGTATAATCCTGGATAAATGATATCAAGAATATTTTTATGACAGTCAAGGCAATGAACTTTATAGAAATTGATATGTGACCAAAATATAGGTTATATTATGTTCCTTAGGACTGAACAGTCATCTGTACTAGAGGTGACTATGATTATTATTATCTAATAATAATACTAACATTTATCTGGATTTCACACTTTAGTAGCTGGAAATCAGCTTGCTAAAACTGGAAATTAGTTTAGCTGTTTTAATCATGTTTTAAAATGAGATATAATATTTACAAATAGCCTCAACTATAATGTTACAGTTGATTTTTTTTCAACAATATATTTTCTGGATAAATTTGAGTCATTTGTAGGAAAAAGCATGCATCTTAAGACCATAATGTTAAGTGAAATAAAGCAGACACAGAAGATGAAATATCACTTGATTTCTTTTATGTAAGAAACCCAAAATATAATTTGAGAGCAAAATAAAAGGAATCAGGAAGACAGATTTTGTGGAGATAGAAAGGGGACCTGGGGATGGAGGAGGAGGGTCAGGAATGGAAGTGGAGGTAAAAATGAGTAAGATGTGATGTGTATATGTACCAATTTCTCAAAATAAATATAATTATGTATCACAAACATATACAAATAAAATACCAATATAGTCTTCTTAATGACTGCCTTGTTAAGCAGGCCTTCTTTGATTATTCCTTTTTATTTTAATAAAGCAGAATTATATGTAAATCCTTTCCTAAGTGACTATTCTCTGCACTTATTTATTTATTTATTTTTGGTACTGGGGATCAAACTTGGGTCCTTGTGCTTGCGAGGCAGGCGGTGAAACCTTTGAGCTAAATCCCTGGCCCTCTTCACTTATGTTCTAACATTCCACAAGGCTGATATAATAGGATCTTAGAAAGTACTATTAAAAAAAAAAAATCACAGAATTTGAATTAATTTCCTGACAGAAATAAACATGTCTTCTATTGCACTCCTATTTGTCAATGACTTTCTTAGACTTGGAAATATCCGTTTCCACAGTTTTTATGGCTTTTTGAAGGATATATAAGGTTGGTTCCATAACCTTGAGAATTTGTTCCAAATGATCTGCTGCTGACTCTCTGGGATTGCTGGTGTTCTCGGTTTTTAATGCATCCTGTAACTTTTTCAAGGTGTCCTTTGTAGTGGTTTTGGAAAGATCTGGACTCATGGTTTTCCCAGATGTGGTGGCATCTGATTGCTCTTTGGTGTCTTCTCTATAGAAGTCACTTAATCGAAGATTCATGACGGGGAATGTCATCAAGAGTGAAAGTAAAGATTCTAAACTCTCAAAGATGTTACTACTTCTCAGCCCAGAAACAATGACTGGTGTCTGGATATCGCTGAACAGTCCCTTAGCTGAATGAGGTAACTCTACATTGATACATTTCTCAGCCACAGAGCACATGACTGTTGCAACCTTGGAACATAAAGGCTATGTCTGCATTTTGTCGTGCTTTGCATCCACTACTGACTTCATTTCCTTACAATTTTTGAGCATTTGTTCAAAGAAATTCTTAATGTTATTATCTTCTTTCACAGCCATCAAGAGGATCTGAGTGTTCATATTACAATTAAATCAATAAATTTATTTGTGAAAGAAATAAGATCTTGTACATGAAAGAAGAATGTTTTTTGCAGCTTGAATCAGTCTGTCTTTATTCTTTTCCAACTCCAAAGACATTTCTTCAACAGAGAAGTTTCAACACTATAAAGCAAAGCAAAATCCAAATAAAAACTAAAAGTGAATTTGGCAAACATGAGGAGACTGAAAGTATAATGTAAACATCAAGATAATTTCTGTCAAGGGCAGGGAAGTTATGCAAACTTTAAAGCAGAAATGGTCCTGTGCTTTAATAAAAATAATAACAAAAATAATTAAAAGTGCAGAAGAGAGTAACATCACTGAATTTATACAACAAACATACTAAATATTGTTTGTTAGATCCTGAATATACGATATGACATTACTCTACAGCAACAAAATATAAAAAACAAATTAAAATGACATTTACAATATCACTAAAAATATTGACTACTTAGAGATAAAACTGATAATAGGTATGAAAGATCTATACACTTATAACTTAACAAAATGTTGCTCAGAAAAGTTTAAAAAGGCCTAAATAAATAGAAAGATAAACATTGTTAGTGGAATGAAAAACTCAATGTTGGTAAAATATCATTACTTTTCAAATTGATTTTTAAATCCAACCCAATCTCAATCAAGATTCCAGGATCTATTTTGATGTGTGTATTACACAACAAATGTACTCTTAATATAACACAGAGATCAATATAGAAAAATGCATGAAATAATCCAAAATATTAGTAAATTTGATAACGTGCTACTAAATAATCCATAGGTCAAAAAGAACCTTCAAAAGAAATGAGAAAGTATTTTGAACTCAATGAAAATATAACAAAATCTGTAAGATAACACTAAAGTAGTATTTAGGAAATTCACAGATTACTTATAGTAGAAAAGAAGATCTAAAATGAATAATTTAAGCTTCTATTTTAGGAGGATAATGAGGGAACCATGAACAATTCTATGCACATAAATTCAACAACCCAAATGGAATGGATCAATTATTTGAAACCTGAATAAAATTATTTCAAAGAAATTATAGTTAAATACCATCTATAAATGGATCTGCAGTTAAATACCTTCCAAAAAAAAGAAAGGTCAAGGCCCACATGGATTCACTGGTAAATTAAGCAGACATTAATAAAAGAATTTAAAATAATTCTACACAATATCTTACAGAAAGTACAAGAAAATACTTTTCGACTCATTTTATGAAGCCACCATGGTATAAAATATAAGAAAGCTACAAAATAATATCCCTTCAGAATCTGTATACAAAGATTTAACACAATCCCAATCAAAATATCAACAGCATTCCTCACAGAACTAGAGGAAAAAATCCTAAAATTCATATAGAACCTGAAGAGACAATAGCAAAAGCAATCCCAGGAGACAAGAGCAAGGCAGGAAGCATCACAATCCTTAATTTCAAGTTGTATTACAAAGCTATAGTGATTAAAAAAAGAAAACAGCATGAACTGACACAAAAACAGACATGTGGATTGATGGAACAGAATAGAGGGTGCAGAAAGGCACATTCAGCTTCTGATCTTTGACAAAAGAATCAAAAACCAAACACCAACTGGAGAAAAAGAAGATACTCCTTTTGATAAATGGTGCTGGGAAAACTGGCTATCCCCATGCAGAAGATTGAATTGAGACCAATATATCTCACCATTTACTAAACTAAAATCAAAATAGACAAAAGGCGAGGACTTTCTGAACAGAACTCCAGTTGCACAGGAAAGAACACCAAGAATCAACAAATGAAATCATATCAAATTTAAAAGCTTCTGCATAGTAAAAGACACAACCAACAGAGTAAAGAGACAATCTTCAGAATGGGAAAAAAATTTTGCCATCTATTCCTTGAACAGAGGTCTAGTATCCAGAATATATAAACAACTCAACAAAACTAGACCTCCCAAAATAAAAGACACAGTCAAAAAGTGAGCAACTAAAATGAATAGACACTTCTCAGAAGTAGTACAAATGGTCAATAAATACTGTAAATGAAAAACTGTTCAACATCTCTGGAAGCAGCCTATAGGCCTAGGAACAGATGAATGGTTAAAGAAAATGTGGTATTTATACACAATACAGTAGTGTTCTGTCATAAAGAAGAATAAGTGAGTCATTTGTAGGAAAATGGATGCACCTGAAGACCATAGTATTAAGTGAAATAAATCAGATACCCAAGCAGACACACACACACACACACACACACACACACACACAAACACACGCATCAGTGGCTTAGATCAATGTCAATATTGTAGAGTTTCATGGTGTTACCATAAGGAAAATCTGAGAAAAGTGCAAAAGAAATCTCTCTGTAATAATTTATACAATTGTGTAGGAAAAGTTGGCTTGGAAAAATTAAGACATAATGGAAGAGTGGATTGGCAGCTCAAAATAATGAGGTACATTTTGTTCATAACTTTTTGAGGCACTAAAAGCATCCACATAGAGCTGTCTAAATGGCAATATGTACTTACAGTGCAGGAAAAATTATTGAAAAACAAGTATCTTCATGGGGTACATCAATAAATGATAATAGAACCATGAGACTGAATAAAATCACTGAGGGGGAACATATAAAGTTAAAAGAGATAAATATGAGGAGGAAGCAGAGCTGGAGCGGGAGCGGGAGGCGGGAGCGTGGGGGGGGGGGCTGCTCTCCTAGCTCCCCCTGGCCCCAAGGCCCAGCTGCTGGAGGGGGAGGAGTTACCGCCGCTCTTCGGCACCAGAACGTCCCATGACGGCTGTGACCTAAAACCCTCCGGAAGCCCCCGGGTCATGGCCCAGAAGCACCCGGGAGAAAGAAGGTTGTGTGGAGCCCACCACAGCGGTGGTGCCTCCCTCAGGACTTTAGGACTCACCGCGGATCCTGAAATATTTGCTTTCTCAGGACTCAGGGACTCAGCAGGGACGGCTCCTAATGGTGCCCGCTGCTTCACAGAACACTCTGGTCCTAAGTACACACAGCCCCCAAATCCCGCCCCCTGGTCGGAGCCAAGCCATGGCTCCCCAAGGGGTCCAGGACCACCTAGGGAAGGAGAGGACCCTGATCAGAGTGAGGTATCTTCAGAAGAAGAGTCAGGAGTGGACCAGGAGCTCTCAAAGAGTAAGGCTGGGTACCATGAGGATAGAAACCCTTCTTTGCTTTCCATTCCATCTGCTCGTAGCTACCAGGGAAACCCTGGAATCCCATAAGGGCCTTACTCTGAGGGAGGAGGTGGCTCTTCTAGCAATTTTTGCCACTATTGTAGGTCTCCAACCTTGGGGGAAGATGAAGAATTGGAAGAGGAATATGACGATGAGGAACCTCTTAAATTTCCAAGTGAATTTTCACGGGTGTCCAGCGGGAAAAAAAAAACATCCCGGAGACAGCGGCACCGCTTTCTGACCAAGGAGGATAATCGGGAGAGTGGACACCGAGATCCCAGGGCCCCTGGCCGACATCGGCTGGGCTGGAAACAAAGTCAGACAGATAAGCGCAGAGGCCTGGGGTTGTGGGGAGCAGAAGAACTATGTCAGCTTCCACAGGCAGGCTTCTGGTGGTTGATTGAACTGCTGGTGTTGGTGGGAGAGTACGTGGAAACTTGTGGCCATCTCATCTATGCATGCAGGCAGCTGAAAGCCAGTGATTTGGAACTTTGTTGAGTTTGGGTGGGAGCCTGGGCAGGACAGCTGGGGGGCTGAGCCCCGGTAGTGTTCCAATTTCTAAACCAGGGGTTTTACTATGGGGCAGGGCTGTTCACCTGTTTTCTTAGGCTTTGCTGCTTTGCTGCTCCAGGGTCTGGCCCTCCTTTTGGGCTGTCTCCAGTTGGGCTGGCAGTTTCTGGTGGGCCTGGGTGACCGGTTAGGCTGGAAGGATAAGGCCATCAGGCTGTTTTCATGGCTGGATTCTCCCACCTTGCAGCGTTGCTTCACTCTGCTGAGAGATAGTAGGCCATGGCAGCAGCTGGTAAGAATAGTTTAGAGGAGTTGGCTAGAGTAGCCCTGGTTCAAGCAGAGGACTAATAGCCAAGGGAATGCACCTGTAGCTAGTGGGCGGTACTGCCAGCCTGAAGAGGAAGTGGCTCGACTCTTGACCATGGCTGGAGTTCCTGAGGATGAGCTAAACCCTTTCCATGTGCTGGGGGTTGAAGCCACAGCATCAGATACTGAAATAAAGAAGGCCCATAGGCAGCTGGCAGTGATGGTTCATCCTGATAAAAATCATCATCCCCGGGCTGAGGAGGCCTTCAAGGTTTTAAGGGCAGCTTGGGACATTGTCAGCAACCCTGAAAAGTGGAAAGAATATGAGATGAAACGAACGGCAGAGAATGAGCTGAGCCAGTCAGTGAATGAGTTTCTGTCCAAGCTGCAAGATGGCCTCAAGGAAGCAATGAACACTATGATGTATAGTCGATGCCAAGGAAAGCATAGGAGGTTTGAAATGGACTGGGAACCTAAGAGTGCCAGATACTGTGCCGAGTGTAACAGGCTGCATCCTGCTGAGGAAGTAGACTTTTGGGCAGAGTCAAGCATGTTGGGGCTCAAGATCACTTACTTTGCACTGATGGATGGAAAAGTCTATGACATCACAGAGTGGGCTGGATGTCAACGTGTGGGAATCTCTCCAGATACCCACAGAATTCCCTATCACATCTCATTTGGCTCTCAGATCCCAGGCACCAGTGGTCAGGAGAGAGCCCCCTCAGATGCCCCTCCTGCTGACCTTCAGGATTTCTTGAGCCGAATCTTTCAAGTACCCCCAGGCCAGATGTCCAAGGGGAGCTTCTTTGGGGCTCCTCGGCCTGGCTCTGGGGCCACTGCAGCCTCCAAGCCCAACAGCACAGTACCCAAGGGAGAAGCCAAACCAAAGAGACGGAAGAAAGTGAGGAGGCCCTTCCGACATTGACTCCCCTTCTCTGCTCTCCTCAAATCAATGTCAGGGAGTCAAAAGGGCTGTGTACAGCACAGAATGGAGTTTGATTTATTTTTAAAAATTTTACAAAGGGAAAATTTTAAGCTTAAATTGTTCACTAGTACTTTAGGAAGCCCCTAAACCACTGTCCCTCTTCCCCAGCACCCAGGAACTGAAT